TCTCAGCGATTCTGTGAGCCACTCATTTTCTTCATTAAATCCATTTTCTACTTCAACTAGCTACAGTGAATTCTGCTGTTTGCAACTTATAACCCTGATTAACACAGACAGAGGAAAGACAAATAGAGGGCTTCCACATACTTCTCCTGCATTTGCAGCTGTTTCTCTGGTGAGCTGTTGTTTTATGTCATCACCCCCACCACCATCACCACCCCCACCCCCATAGGAACCGTCTGACTCCCCACAGAAGGGACAGAGGCTATTCTGTGAGATTATATCTAACATCTTCCAGCATGGCACGGGGTCAGAGGGCAGAAGCTCGGAGCTGTGAAGAGCTTCTCTATTTGGGCAAAAATGGAAAAAGAACCTCAACTTTCCCAATGGAAGCCCCATCCACGTTGAATACAGATTGGTTCTATTATCGGTGGGTTTGAAAACATGCTTCTTTACAATAACGCCCAAATCCCTGGGAGTGAAAAATGGCAAAATTCTACACAATGGTTTTTCCACTTCCCTAGAGTTGTGTTTATTTCTCTCTGCTGATTCCATACTTCCAGATAAATTCAGGCTCCGTTTCATTTCATTCAAGCAAAATCCGTTCAACACTGTCCTTAGTTAAATAGAAAAGCTTTCCACTCAAATGTGACTTTTGTCCAAGAGCAGGGCGTGAGAGCCAGAACAGAGGAGGTGAAGTGCATGGTGACCTTGACCAACCTCTAGCAGAAAGCAGAGTCCAACCACAGCAGATGCAAAGCGGTACAGGCAGGTAACATGGGGTATCACACTTAATAGGAACATCCAGCAGACTGTGGTCCAGGCAGATAAGTGGGGAACGAGGAAGGGCTTGAGTCCAATACAAGTAAGCAGGTAGTAGGGGGCAATCCAGGAGCTCTAACAACAAATTATGGGTCCTTTTCCTCCCAAACTGAAAGAAGTTACATTGAACACTGTCAAACATAACTTCAAGGGAGCAATGCAAATTCATTCAGGCATGAAGTGACAGAAAGTTAGATGCCTTGGAAAGCTATAATGTCTTTTTTTGGCCCTGAGAGTACCGCTTAATAGCTTATGACTCCAGACTCAATAAATGCTCGTGAAAGTTTTGTTACACAGATTAATAACATCCTTATTCCTGGGTAGGTTGGTTATTTCTAATTGTTGCTATTATAATTGCTGCTCTGCCTATCTTGTGTTCTTGAAAAAATACAAATGAGACTGGGTACTTGACAAACTAGAACATTTAAGTCCCTTTCGGATGATTCCAAATCACAGCGGGTATTTTGAGCTCTAACATCCCCACTGTATATCTTTTTTTTTTCTTGTTAATACCCAAAAGGCAGAAATCCAA